CTCTCTCTCTCTCTTTCTTTTGTTGCCCTTACAGAACTCACAGAATAAGTATTAGTATCTTCAGTGTACAGTAACCTACACAGGGCCACGCAGTAGTCAGATAGCAGAGTGAAGTCAATTGACTTGCTTAATTTTCAGTGTCTTCTCCCTCACTGGCTACCATCACGGACTAATGGAGTCTGTGACCACAGAGCAGCGTGCAGTCAGCCACACAATGTAAAGACGCTTCCTGCTCACCTGAAGCCTTTTGCGCATAATTGGTTTTCTGTAAAGAGGCAATCGCTTAGAAGCAGAGCTAGATACCCACATGGTTCAGGTTGTCCTATAACTACTCTGATGCAACATGTGGAGAGAAAAGTCCAGCTTGGCACTGTGTTTTAATTATGAGATTGTTTGAATTTTTCATTACCAACATACTTTGCCCCAGGTGGGGCTTCCAGTACACCTACCTTGTCAGAACTCTTTGTACAAACCTATCCTGCCAGTGCTTCCCCTCTTGTTGGACATTGTGACGGGAAGGAGAGAAGAAAGTTATTTTTAATTTGGCAACCAAGCGAACATCTGAGCCGTCCCTTCCAACAGCTAAGCCTATATGTTTTCTCAACAGGGTATGAATTACCTGGGTCTGGGACTGGCCAGACAGCCTGTTCCAGCAGCTCTGACTGTCCTGTTGGCTGGATGCAATTGCTCTGTGCACCCAGCAGGACTCAGGGAACTTCAGCAGGGAGCATCCTCCTTCTCAATAAACTCAGACGTGAGCACTGGGCAACTTGTTAAACACATTTATTGATTTTTTTTTGACAGTAACCAAACACAGTGAGTGACCATTATAAACAAGAAAAGAAAGGCATTCGTTTGTACTTTGTGAGATCTGGCTGCACCTGGAGAGAAAAGATACCCCAATTTCCCAGGAATTTACAAGGCAAAGTGCATTCCTTCGGGAGCATCACAGGGGCTGGGGGGCAGGGAATGGCAGTTTCTTGAAACGCAAGGAATCTGTTGCCTACTATATCAGGCCGAAGCTCACCTGGGATGAATGACCAGCCATGGAGTGGAATTAAAGGCATACCTGCTTAGCAAGTGCATTCCTGCTTGCCACAAACTCAGGAAAACTGGCTGCAAATGAACAAAACATGGAGATGAAGGAACATGGGAGACCCAAGAAGGTAGCTGCATGGGGCTGGGGCTGAGCCTGGCAGGATGGAGAACAGACCAAAGCCAGAAAAAATGAAATCAACGCATTGAACACATTTATTGGGCTGTTAACAATAACCAAACACAATGTATGACCTTCAGAAAACAAGAAACAGCGAATGGATCGATTCTGATCTCGGGCAAATCCTAGTACAGTTATGTGACAAAGGGGGAAATAGTTCCATTCTTATAGTCTGAGGTGATATATATATACACAACGTAGAGCTCTTTGATGTCTGTCCTTTTTTATTATTTTCTTTTTAAATCATTGAGTAAACAGAAGAATCGTAATCTAGAAATAAGTGTCCTTGGTCAGCTTTGTCCTGGTCCACATGTCACCAGCATCCACAGAGTATTCTAGGACACCATCGGGGATTATGAGATACAGCGTCCACTTGATGCTTTTAGAACGATGTTTTCTCCCCTCTCTCTTTTGGAAGAATTTTTGTATGTACAAAGGCTGAGAAGTCTCATCGGATAGAGTTATTAGTTCAGGGAAACAGTATCAAAATTGTAATCAGGTTAACTGGTTGTTTTCTTCTAAGACCTTTGATGATCAAATCTTTGTTTCTGAGACTTGACTTCCCATCATGGAGGTGGTATAGATGTGTGCGTACTTGTGTTTACTCTTGTGTGTGTGTGTGTGTGTGTGTGTGTGTATGTGTGCGTGTGTGTGTGTAGAGATGTGCTCTCTTCTGACACATTTTTGCAAACAGTTTTCATGAATAAGGGGCCAATCCAAAGAGTAAAAGGCTTAGGGGAGGGAAGAGGAGGAAGAAAGAGGGGGCATTCTGGGTTACGTCAATTCACAGTTGTAGAGTTTCACTGAGGTGGGATTCTTCTTGGCTTCGTTCCCTACTTGAGGAGCCATTCGTTTACTGGAAAGAGAGAAAGAAACAAAACCGAACACACACATACACACAACACAAAACAAGGCACAACTGTGTTAATGTGCATACAGTGCAGGGGGCCTAGTCCAAAGGGGAGGGGCCACCTTCTAAGAGCCTGCTTGTTAACTATTCCCTGCCCGAGGACTTTCTAGACTTGTGCCTTCCAGAATGCTGGCCAAGAGCTTCAGGTGGCTCCCGTGAAGCCAAGTGACTGTAAAGAATAAAAGTATTTGTGTCATCAAGCTACTCCCACTTCAAGTGTGCAATGGCTGAAGCAGGTAGAGACTCTTTTGGTCACATAGACTTTAGCTGCCAGCCTCATCTAACCATTCCCCCTCTGCTTGCTTATTGACTGTAGCTGGTGTTCTGCTCCACCCTTTGCATGGTCCCCACGGCTGACTTCACACGACCTCACTAGAGTGGGACCGAGAGTACCTGACCTACATCGCCTGATATACTTATTGCTGCTTCTTTATGCCCAAAGCGCCAAGCCCTGGTTTAGATCCCAACCTCTCCGTGCTTAGGGTCATATCTCTCTTCATGACCACTGTACCACCACTATTGCCCAAGTGCTCGATACATAGCAGCTGCCCAATAAATGAGTGAGGCATACAGAGAAGGGTCAATGACAGAACTGGGTGTCTGTCTGCTAGCTGTGACTGACAGGGAGCAAGGACTCCTGTGTACAGGCATCCTGTGAATGTCTAAGAGAGATAAAAGGATAAAAGGGACCCAGAGGGAAGAGGACCAATGCAGCTGGGGTTGAGGGGCAGCAGTGGTATCTGCCTTCTAGAGTTTTCTGGAAATGACTATAGCCCTTGTATTTAGGGACCTTACCACTGTTATAAAGGATTTCCCATGCAGGCACAAGCTATGGTGACTGTTAAGACTTCCAGGAAGAGATTAGGAACGGTGGAAGAACTCCAGATTGGAGTTGCATGGCTTGTTAGTCCAGGACATCTATGAAACTGTGTCCTGTTTGACCTCCTTTTTCACACTGCGAGTTCACCGTGATGGTTGCTGGATGTTCAGTCAGTGTGTAGAAGAAAAGACAGAAGCCTGAGTGTGGACCAGCTAGTCACCGGAGACAGATGCCCTCTTAAGTGCCCCCTTTAGTGGGAATAATAACTGCTTATAGGGACATGGCACTGGACAAAGATATGACTACTCCCTCATTGGACCCTAGCACATAGTGTCATCTAGGGCATCCCATCCCTTTTAAGGGGACACATAACTAAAACCTCCAACCCTTCTTACTGTTCTGTTCTAACATGGCCTTGGGATATCAGGCTTTCTGAGCTCTCTGATCAAACTGTCAATAGAAAGGACTGTTTTGCCTGAACCAAAGGAGATGCAAAGGTTTGATACATGTGACATTAAATATCTATACACATCAACATACATCACATAAGTCAAGCCTTTAACCTTTATCTCCATCATCTATGTATGACAGACAGAAACCTTGAAAACGGCTATGGCAGTGACTTTTCTGTCGGAGTTCCTACGGTGAGAGATAGGCCTAGGCTAAAAGACGGACCTCTGGCCTGGGCGCTGTTCCAGCGACCGCTGTACTCACCTCTGTACTGCAGCTTCTGGGCCCTGTTGTTAGGACAGTCCTTCCCCTGTAAACTGAAGTTGATGTTGGTGCGGATACAGCGGTTGTTGAGGGGCTGCACGGGCCTGAAGTTGTCGCTCATGCTCAGAAAGATCTGCGATGGCTGATTCTGGCTGAGGAGGCGCAGGGAATGCATCTAAGGAGAGAAACAGTTGTGAGATCCAGTCACTCCGTGGATGTGCTGGGGAGGAAAAGCCATGCAGGCTGCTGTCTGGCCACACAGCATCAGTTATCTGGGAAAGGTCATGAGTCTTCAGAGCCCCTTTTCCCAGCCGAACTGAGGTGAAGGGCCACTGATGCCTTCAGACATGAAGTACGCTTTTATCTAACTCACTAGCTTGTGGGCTTTAAACAGGCCATTGATTCTCATCCTCAAATGTACCCAGGCAGTAGCGTCTGCTTTCTCTGACGCCTTGACCGTACATGGTTATATATAGACTATAGTGGTTGGTCCACAGCAGTAAGCTGGAGCAATGCAATTTTTTTTCTTGGGGATACCTAGACAGTTTTACCATAAGATTGTGAAGCAAAAAAGGGGAAAGCAAAAGTACCAGAAGAAGGAGAAGAGAGGAGAAGGAGGATGAGACAGAACAGGAAGAGGAGGGGAAGAAGAGGAATGGGAGAAGAGGGGGAGAGGAAGGAGAGGAGAATGAGGAAGGGGTGGAGAAAAAAGATAAAGGGGGAAGAGGGGAGAGTGGAGGGAACTTCTGGCATTCTGACTCTAGTGAACCCCCTTCCTTTATTAGTCTCTGGTCTTGAACTCTCTGAGATCCTCCGGTATCTCTTGAACATGCCCCTTTCCTAAGGGAGTGACCCAGAGGGAGTTATTGTTGTTCGTCCTGCAACAAGTTCTAGCAGGACCAGGTACTGGAAGCTTCCTGTTGTCTGAACATAGCTGTTGCCAAGGAGATGGGCTCTGCTGCCCTTGCTCATCTTCCCTCAGGCTTCCTACATATGGACCATCCTGCTGGAGCTGGAACAGATGCGTGCAATCTACCCTCATCATGGGGAAGCGGAGGAGGGTGGCAAGCCTGGAGTGAGCAATGAGCCACTAAGCAAAGCTGGCCCAGGCTGGTCCCTGCGCAGGGCCGAGGGATAGACTATCTGAGACGATATTTAAAAACTCCCATATTCAAAGCTCGTTTGTGAGATACTGTGCACCATGTTACCTCTGCTTGGAGACTGACACACACATTATATTTAAAAGATCGGAGAAGTCCCTTCATATTGAAATCGATGTAAGTTTTTCTTTTTACTGTTGCTAGTGCTGGAGAATGAACCGAGGGCCTCGTCCTTGTAGGGCAAACACTCTGCCACTGAGGGTCGCTTTAGCTTATATAGGTTTAAAAAACTGGCTTAAAAATCAAGTTTTTTGAGATAGGTCCCCACTCAGTATCCAGGGTGGGCCGAGAACTTGTGGTGATCCTCCTGTCTCAGCTTCTCAAGTGCCGGGGTTGCAGGAGTAAGCCATTGCATTTGTATCCATTTGCACCTCTATCTGAACACTGAACGCTATCTGTAGAGCGTGATTGTGCAACCGATTCTCCAGCCGTACTTCCCTCAGGCAAGTGGAGTGTCTTCACAGTTCAGATTAGTCCATTTTAGATGCTGACTCTCTAAACACAGGCATTGTGGATTTAATTTTGTCTCCCCAAACTCATAAATTGAAGGTATTGACAACCTGTAGTACTCGGGATGTGACCTTACCTGGAGGTAGGGCTACTTCTGATGCAATCAGCTATATTAATATGAAGTAACTGAGGTTAGCTCTTTAATTCAGAATGGCGAAGGTCTCTTTAAAGGGTGGGTTGGGACAGAGAGGCAATCACACAGAGAACACCAAGTAACCATGAAGGCAGAGACTGAGGTAGTACACCTGGAACCAGGGAAGGCCCAAGATTTTTGGAAAACCACAGAAGCTAGGGACCAGGCACGGAGCAGATTCTCACATTCCTCAGAAGTACCCAAGCCTTCCCATTCCTTCATCTGGGTCTCTGTCCCCCAGAACTGTGAGGCAAACAGGCTTCTGTTGGTTGTGCTTTGGGGGCTTTATGGCTGCACAAATCCTACTTATATCAACGCTGCCACCTTAGACCCCACTCAGTCAGTCCTCGCACTTTCTCCCCCTTAGCTAAAGCAGCAAAGTCAAGCTCACCTGCATCCTCGTTATGTATACAGGCTTGTTCATTATTATCCAACTAGCTGTCTCGTAACAGGGCGGGATAGTCATCGACCCGTCGTAAGTGATGAAACTAGCGGTCTCTGGATACAGTTCCTCTATATTAAGTCCCTGTAGTAAATATGCGTCATCTAGAAAGGAAGGCAATAGAAACAAAACTTAGTATCTTGATGAAGTATTGCTGATACATCTTTATTGTATATGATATTAAAATGTGCATAGGTATCTCTCAGTATCTTCCAACAAACAATCCCATTGCTATTCTCCTCACCTAGCTGGTGTCCTATTCTTTTTTTTTTTTTTTTAAACTACAGAATTTTGTTTATGGTTTACAAACAGTCCAGGTGGCTGACGGCTCCCCTCCAGGTCACTGTTGTTTATTCTTTGTCTTAGAATAGACCCTGATGGCTGCATTGTGGCTTGGAGATCACAGTGACAGAATGAAAAACAAGCCTGGTGAAAGATGGTGACTCTAAAATTGTTCCGTTCCAGAAGTAGTACATGTCACTCACATCTGCTCACATCAAAGAAGTCACGTGACTAATGCTATGTCAGGGATTTAGGGAAGAAAGAAAGGTGGGACTCTGAATACTGGTGATTTGAAATAACATAGCTGGTTATCATAGGACTGTCTGCAGAGCCACGGGTTCCCCAACATCTGACTGCACTGTATGATGGTTTGAACCTGAAACGTCCCTGCACAGGCTCTCATTTTAGAAAGCAATTCTGGGCACCATTACATTAGCAGTACACCCAGGCGCATGTCTGAATGCTCGGTCTGCAGCTTGCCATGCTATTTCGAAGGTTGTGTAGCCTTTAATGTTTGAGGCCTGGCTGGCTCACTGAAGTGGGTCATTAAGGGTGGGCCTTTGATGTCAAACCAGCCCCTCGTTCCTGGCGGCTCTGCCTGTGGCTGCTGCTGTAAGCTCCACCTCACGCTCCTGCCATCATGGATGGAGCTGCCCTCTCTGCCATCCGTGATGATAGACTAACCTTCTGAAGCCATGAGCCAAAATCAACAACAAATACACAGAGGAATTGCAGCCACAACAAAAGGAGCAAGTCAAGGCCTCAGGGTCTGTTGAAATGTTGTCCAGCTGCCATTCTTATTTATAAATACTGCTTGATTAAAAGTACATTAAGAAAATATCTCTAGGAAGAAATTAACCAGACCAAATCCTATCATGGGGTTCAAAGCTCAAGTCCAGCAACTGACCTGTTTCGTGCACTCCCCACCCTTCTGTAGACCATGCAGATTCTTTGATCTCTTATGTATCACACTTTTTGTTAGTAAATGGTTTTTACATTTTAAAACTAATATGCATTTAAAACTAATATAAAACTTAATATGCATACATATTAATAAGACTATGAGGATAAAAGAGAAAAATATATAATTCTAATCATTTCACACAATTACTATTAGCATTTTGGTGTTTTTTCTAATATTTTTATTCCATGTATTGATTGAAGTTTTAAAAAATGATAATATATTAGTATCTAAAATATTCGATATATTCTACCTTTCCTTCCTCCCTCTTTCTTCTCTTTTTTTCATTGAATACTATTGCTTTCTTCTCTCAGCTTCCAAAATGTTGCAGTTCACCTTATTTTTCTGGCTTCGTGGTCTCAAGTTCTGTAGCTCCTCTGGCTTTCTAACCTTTTATTTGCTTCTGTCTCTCAATGTTGTGTTCCCTGACCACCTGTCCAAGCCTCCTGTCTTTCTCAGTCCCTAAGCCCATCTTACTGTGGCTTCCATGCCCCAGGAACTGTAGATCTGTCTCCAGAGGTGGTAAATGTCCCAGTGGGCTGTCAGCACCCACCATGTGGTTGGTCTAGGAGCCCGGAGAGTACTCAGTAGGGCACCAAAGCCTGGCTGGCAGAGAGATGAGACTGCCACACTCCCAGAGTCTCTCTGGATGAATCCAAGGCCCAGTGGGAAAGGACTAACGCTATAGTGGTCGATGTCATCATTTAAGTGCAGTACTGTGTAAGGGAAATTGTATACACATAGCTGGAATCTCATACTCAGACAGATGTGTCAAGTGTAACTGGAGGTTTCTTTCCCACCCACCAGTTCCTGAATAAACACTCTAAGGCTTAATATTAATTATAAAAGTGAGCTGATGGCTCCGACTTATTACTATCTAGCTCTTATAACTAACCCATTTCTATTAATCTATGTATTGCCATATGGCCATGGTGTTACCTCATATCTTGCTTCTCCGGTGGCTGCTGGTATCTTTCTTGATCCTGCCCTGTTTCCCCATGTACCTCTGCTTGGATTTCCCACTTAGCTATAGTCTGTCCCGCCATAGGCCAAAGCAGTTTCTTTATTAACCAATGATAATAAAACATATTCACAGCATATAGAGGGGCGTTCCACATCAGTCAGGGATATAGTAAAACATCCACATTGATAGGAAGAATAAAGACCAGAGAGACAAAGTTCACAGCTGTAGAAGAAGCTGGTGCTTGCAGAGTAGGAACTGAAACCCAATTTTCCTGACCTGCAATCCACAGCCATTCATTGATTCACCAGATAGTCACTAAACCACCTATTTGAGCCGGGCCCACTGTTAGGCCCCTATTTTACAGCAATGGACAGGGGAGATACAGTACCTGCCTCATTCCAGTTGAAGACCAAGACAGCACATGGCAATATTCATATGTAGGCGACAGAGCCAGGGTGACGACTGCACTGTCTGCTGCTGTCGGCATGCATGCTGTCCATCTATTTTTATAGGTAAAGACACTCCTCCATTTTCCTTTTAGGAGTTGTTTAAACTTTCTTTGAACATAGATATTGCCAGGGGGTTTTAGTTTTAGTGTTCCTTGACTGTGATATGTGAGAAGATCAATCAAGCTAGTAGTTTGAAATAATCTAAACAAATCTACCATTTACCTGCTCCATCTAAACCCTTCCCACTCTACTGTGGTACAAGAATCCTTCCAGGGCTCCATCAGTGCTCGAAGAGGGATCAGGTAACCTGGGCTTGGAGAGAAATTTCACTGACCCTAAGATGAAGTATTTCTCCTTCCCTCTTTTCCTCTTCATCTCTTTTCTTTCCACTCTTCTTTCTTCCTTCCCCTTCTCTCTCCTTTCTTAAAAATATTTTAGTTTCACTTATGTGTCTGCGTTTACATAAATATGTGTGCAGATGCTCATGTAGGCCAGAAGAGGGTGTCAGGTCTCCTGAATCTAGAATTATAAGCAGTTGTGAGTCACCTGATGGGAATGAACTCGAACTTGGGTCCTCAACAAGAGCAGCAAATACTCTTAACTGTTTCTAGTCTTCTTCTTCTTCTTCTTCTTCTTCTTCTTCTTCTTCTTCTTCTTCTTCTTCTTCTTCTTCTTCTTCTTCTTCTTCTTCTTCTTCTTCTTCTTCTTCTTCTTCTTCTTCTCCTCCTCTTCCTCCTCCTCCTCCTCCTCCTCCCCTTCTCCTCCTCCTCCTCCTCCTCCTCCTTCTTCTTGTGATGCAGCCTGGATCCACTAATCATCCACCTCTCAAGTGTTTATTGGCATTCATCAGGTGTATACCATCATGCTTGACCGCTTTATAAAACTTTCCATTTAAGTAGAAACTAGCATTTTCCATGGAACACTAAGGCCCCAGTATAAGCCAAAGAGGGAAGAAGCAACTGGAATCTGCCTGGACCAAGTCTGTACTGTGGCCTGAGATATCAGAAGTTCCTATAACAAAGTCACAATGTCCACAGCACACACTCACCTGTTGGTCCTCCTGAGTTTCAGCAGTCACTAACATAATAAGCTTATGCTTTGTATCCATCTCATCATGGCTGTAGCCCTTCCTAGGCCCTGAGCATGTGCCAGCACCAAGTGTGGAGCAGATAAGCTGGGCATAGTTAGGTGAATACAGTGATGTGCAGGCTAGAGAGGGGCTGTCAGCTTTATCTGGGCTGGGGCCGGGGTGGGAAGACTCGGGAAAGGATGGATGAAGGAGCTGCCCTGAACTGTATCTTGAATGGCGGGAAGTAATCAGTGTGTGCTTGGCACGGGGTGAGGTGCCAAGGGTACCACTGACAGAGGCATGCTGGAGTCAGAGTTGAGAGAGTTCAGAGGGCTATGTACTTAGGGACAGCCTGAGTGTGGACACAGTGTTGGTGGAGGGATATTGTGGGAAATGAGGCTAGCAGGGTCAACACAGGCCACATCCGCAAGGTCTACATGGTTGAGAGTTTGGGCTTCAACCTGGAGGCAGTTTGGAGCCAGGGATGGCCTCATCAGAGCTGTACATAATGAGGCTGTCTCTGATGGCAGTTTGGCCTGAAGATTGACATACAGAATGAGAGAAGGAAGCATTCAGCACATTCTTATTAAAGGTCAAGGTGATTTGTTTAACCAAGCTTGGACGAGGAGCGTATTGGGTACTCTAGCATGCTGCTATTATTGCATTTTATTTTTATTTGGGGCAGTAGGGAGGAGGGAAGGATGGATGCAGTAGAGATGAGTGATAGTCCAGGTATAACTGGAGCCAAGATAAAGGACATTTATATTTCCCTGAAACTAGACCAGCCCTATGCAGCCGCCATATCTGAGGAAAGGGTACAAGCTAGAAGCAAGAGACAAAAGAGCAATGTTTATGTGTTTATCCTCCTTATGGGGTATCAGCACATTTACAAAATGCCACAGTGTTGATACTCCAACCTCTAGGGTCCTGGTGGGAAAGTTATTTTTGGCCACCTCTCTGTCAGATGCAATGACCACACTCAGTGGCCACCCTCCTGGGATCATCAGCTGCTACGGTGCTCCTTCTACCAATCTTTTTCATCTTTTAATTTCCTCCTACAGAACTTGAAACTATCCAGCTAGAAGAATCTGGTGCTTGGGGCCCAAGTTCGAATGACGTTGCTGCTTGCATCTGTATGACCTTGGAGCCACAGGTGATAAGAGCCTCCTTTCCCACGTCTGCGGTATAGAGTACTTGTGTCGCAGGTGTTTAGGTGAACAAATCGGACCAGGCTTTACAAGTATCATCTAGCACAAGGCTCACTCCAGGTAAGTTACTCAGCTATGCTGGGTAACATTTGTGTCCCCTTTGTGACCTACAGTGTGCTTGCTCATCTTCCCTGGTAAACTCCCTGTCACACCCAGAATTCTGACTTTCTC